TGCCTCCACTAGGGTGTCCCTTTAAGTAGGATAAAACTCTCTTAGTTGCCATAAAAATGAGAGGGTTTAGATTTAAATGGGTGCATATACTTACTCAAAAGACTCACAACAAATACACTATCTAGTCTAATCATGGAAAGATAGGGAAGCCTCCCAATAAGTCTCTTATATTAGTGAACATTTGAAACTGTCTCACCATTACTCTCAAGTTTATTACTTAGATCCATAGAAGTATCGCTATCTTACATCCCAGCTTTCCAATGTCCTTCAATAGATCAAGGATATGCTTTTTTTTTAGTAAATCAAAAATACTTTTGTCAAATTGAGCAACTTCAATTCTAAGGAAGTATTTTATAAGATTAAGATCATTTACTTCAAATTGTGAGGCAAAGCATTCTTTAACTTTTAAATTTCTTCCTTCCAATTCCCTATGGTCACAATATCATCTACATACACAATCAAAATGGCAATTGAATGTGTGAAATCTTGTCATTGCACAAAACCAACTTGTTAAATAACATTGTTGGACCTCTCAAACCATGCTCTAAGATACTACTTCAAACCATATAGAGACTTCTTTAGGTGAGAGACTTTATCTTCATTGACTTATCTACATTTGAAATCTAAGAGGTTGAGACATATGCACTTTCTTCTTCGAGGTCATCATTCAAAAAATGCATCATTCACATCTAATTGATAAAGAAGCTATGAAAAATTGATTGTCAAAAATAATAAGACCCAAATACAATTCATTTTGGCAACTAGAGCAAAAGTCTCATTATAATCCACACCATGTGTCTAATAAAACCCCTTTGCCACTAGTCTCACCTTATACCTTTGCCACCAGGTAGAAGGAAAAGAAAGTTGTATTCACAGCCACAAGAAAGTTTTTCTCATATGCACGATCAACTAAAAACATCAATCAGGTTTGAAGAATTTATTAATATATTTTTGTATAGCCATTTTGTTGGGTTTTATAACCCAATTTTGAAGTAGAGTTGATAAAAAATATGAACAAATTTCATTTATAGACATCAACAACAATAATAATTGATTGGACGTATTGTTAAATGAGATTATAATCATGTATGACTAGATGAATTATTAAGTCGAATGAAAATAATTTCAGAAATGCAAAACTTAGGAACATCAAATGGCCCCTTCTACTTCAACATCACTTAAGAAATTCCATGCATCACACAGGGCCCAACTAGTGGTAATATGTAAAAATGTTGTTTGATATATGAGAATAAGAGTTAAGGAATATTAGGAAAAAAAAATTTTAATAAAGCTATAGGGAAGAATGATAAAGAAAATTAACTCAAATAAATGGTGTTATATATGAATGTTCAACCAAAAGATTAAAAATTAAAGACAATTTGGTCATTAAATCAATATTAAAAGAGTTAATATTCATTGAATTGGACTGGCCCAAGACATTGAATTGGACTAGTCCAAATTGGTCCAAAATATTCATTGGATTGGATTGGACCTGGTCCATTTATAATGGACTCACATTGGACTAGATCAGATTGGACCAAACCCAGACCAATTGACACCCCTACCCTCAGCAGCTTTGCTTCCTTTCTATTTAAGAATATTATTATACACCATTTCTCAAAAAAAATATTTAGTATTTTATCAAAGAAAAACTTGGATTTAGCATCATTGATGTATTTGTAGGATTTGTGAATATTTCCTTGATATATCCAAGCATATCCATATCTATCCATCATATTCATGCATATCCAAAGCATATCATATTACGCATTTATTTCCAAATTTATCATATTTTGAACTTTAACAAAAAGATGGACAGTTTTTGGAGGTTCTAACATTCAAAATATCTAACTTCACTACATTTAGAAACTATAAAAAATTAAAAAAAAAAAGTATGTGATGCCTTCATAGATCACAATATTAATTTATTGAACACTTCAAAATATGGTTATTACTTGTTTTGGCTCTCTCTATTCTTTTTTTTTTTTTTGGCAAATTACCCCAACCTTTGCACATCCTAACAGTATCAAAAGGTGAGCGGCCATTTACAAATTGCCCACTCATTGCACCAGTGACCAAGTTTTCAACTAATATTAATCATAGATCAATATCAATGAATTGGTCTCAACCATTCAAATAATGCATAAAAATCTCTAAAAAGATCCGGGCCGCGTATAGTAATTTATCAAATAAGACCTAAGATCTGGACCATCAAAATGGTACCCGAAATCGGTCAATTAATCTCACCCATTCAAATAATGTACCAAGGTTCTGGCCTTTTGTTGAAAAAACATAAAAAGGATTTCATTATGTCTAATCCATCCAAATTATATGCTGAACTCAAAAAAAAAAATCAAATTATATGCTAAATCAATCTGAAAAATCTATTCCATCAAAATGATAACATGAGGCCAGCGAATCAATCTCAACCATCAAGTTTTATACTATACTGGGATTTGAACTAATCAAGGCCATTAAATATTATACCAAACCAATCCAAAAATCTAGGCCATTAAAGTGGTCTCTTAGAGCAATCAATTAATATCGAAGAGATGCACCAGATAGTTGAAATCTTGGTACATCACTTGGCTGGTTGAGATCAATATATTGATATTAATTTTTTATTTTTACTCCAGGGCAGCCACCTTGAAAGAAGAGGGGACATAGCCCACCTTGCCCCGAATCCAAATAATTCCCTCACCTCACCAGACCCAACCCTTAAAAAAGTAGGGGGAAAAGACAACTATTTCACCCGAGCCACATACCAGCCCAATTTATTGATATTAAGAAAATACTTGTTTGCTTTGACTTTTGGGTTAATTTAATACATCATTTGGATGAGTTAGATCAGATGATTCATTTCTCATAAAAGACCACTTTGATGGGTTGATTTGGTGCATCACTTCGATTGTTTTGAGCCATCGCTTGACTCAATTTGCTTAGGTTATGTTTGATTTGAGGGAAAAGTAGGGAAAGGAAGGAAAAGGTAAAAAAAATCTATACAAGATTTGTAAAGGTTTTCTTATCTTTTCCTTCCTTTTCCTACTTTTTCCTTCAAACCAAACATAGCCTTAGGGTGCATTTGATTAGAGGGAATAGGATCTTCGAATCGAAATCAGAATCAGAATGACTCTCCTACGTTTTGGTTGAGTGGAATGGGATTCCCCCATATGGGGGAATGGCCATTTCCGACCCCATCCCAATTGTGATTTCCATTCTGGTCCATTTATTTAATTATTTATTTTTTGACAGAAAACATCCTATTCGATTCCAACCCTTATTCCATTAAAGTTTGAAGGCTCTGTAAGCAACTCCTTCAACCTCCATACTACCCACTGTCGCCGCCGTCGACCCCATATCCGGTGAAGTAAGACAACCGCCAACCAACCCCATCTCTGGTGAGTTAAGGCCATTGTTAATCATTCATAGTCCTTTTCTTCTTCTTCTTCTTCCAAATCAGCCACCACCGTTGTCGCTGCCAATCCCATCTCTTCAATTTCTGGATTTCTGTAAATATCAGAAACCATAAAGTAGAAGCATGATGTACAAATGCTATGTGAGAATGGAGTTAAGGAAGTGGACGGAGCAGAGAAATTCATCAAGGAAGAAAAGTTTCAGGTCATCGATCTCAGCAATATGTCTATGGAGTCTATCCCCAATCTGTCTCTGAATCTCACCACTATCAGCAACCTAGATATTTCTCTACAATTTTTTATTAGCCTCTTGGTTTCTATTCTGTTTAGCTCTTTGGAGTTCTTTTTATCTCCACATATCAAATCTAAATGCAGTAAAATGAGTCTCAGGTTGTATGGCTTCTGGTTCTTCTACTTCTGAAATTATTCTTTCTTCTTGGCTTCGTATACTCTACAGGTCATCCAATAATATTATTTTATTTCTTTGTTGTACAAGCATGTCTATAAATAGAAAATCTTATAAGCATGTCTTTTCTTCAGTTATCTTGTTTTATTCCTAAATTTAATTTATCTATTTTTTTCTACAATGTCAATAGAGCATTCCAATCATTAAACAACAAGACTACTGAACATTTTCGTGTCAAATGTTCACTCAAACCAGCTTAAATCTCTCCCGAATTCGATTGGGTGTTTATCCAAGCTCCCAGATCTTGAATATCTCTGGAAACCTTATGGAATCCTCTTTAGAATTATCGAGAGGTGGGTCCTTTCTTCTTCTTCTTCTTCTTCTTCAGGATTGCTCTGTTTTTTCACCATTACTATTGAAGTTCTTTTAAGAGGGCCAAAGTTGGAAATTTAAGCTGATTCCCATTCCAGCTTCTGGTTGAACCAAACAGCAACGGTCAGAATCTGATTACGGTTCCTGATTGAACCAAACAGGCACCGGGAATAAGTGATTCTGATTCCCATTCCTGGAGATACCAATTCTAATTCCGATTCCAATCCTGTCCACGAACCAAACTGACCCTTAGATTGACAAGATTCTATGCATAGCTTTGGTTCATTTCTTGAACTTTCGAGATTAATTACTGATATTATTTTTTGTCAATAATATCAGTCAATGGAAAATGATAAATTCATTTTTGAAATCAATAAGGCTGTGTTTGGTTTGAAAGAAAAAGATAGGAAAAGGAAGTTCAAACCAAACACAACCTAGGACATTTAAAAGATCTAGAGGTGACCACTCTTAGGCTGACCCGAAACCTGGCCTGTAATTTCCAGGCATGGGTAGTTGGATAGTTGGGTATGGGTTTTACGTCCAGGCCCAGATTTACATCAGTCCTGAAAATCAATGGGCCGGGCCTCGGCTTAATTCTTTAGGCCTGCCGAGGTCTGAGTATATGGTTCAGTTTAGAAAGAATACAAATATAAAAATGTATATGTATGTATTTGTGGTTGCACTCTTTCTAAATTGAGCCTCCTATATGGGCCAAGGGCCCAAGGCCAAGGCCCGTGTTGATAAAATTGCTGATTGCTGTAAACAATGCTAGCGCCACGGTCTCCGTAGACCAGTCAGAGAATAGTTCGTCCTAGAATTCGTATACGTCGGTCACTAGACTCTTTTCTTCCAAGAGAAGACTTCAGAGAGAAAAAAGCTTGGCTGTTTTGAAGGTGATTCTCAAATAGACCAAACCACTTTCGCCTACAACTCCAATCGACGTCGTACCCTTTTGTTCTTCTCTCTGTCGCAAAGGTATTTCTTTCTCCCTCTGAAACCCTAGAAATTTCTTTCTTCTTCAATATTTTTCCCTTTTTTTTGTTTTTGTTTTAGGTTTCGACCTCCTGCAATTCAGGTTCTTTTGATCATTTTCTTTCTGTCCTTCCCATGGTATAGGGGGAACTGGATTCCCTTGCAAATTGGGCGTATTATACGATATTTATTTCCATAGTTCAAGCAAAAAAATTCGTTCATTCGTTTTTTGGTTACCAATTTAATTAATGGAGTTTGTTTGTTTGGTTTGGATGTTAAACAGTGCTGAGTAATATTGAGGAAGATGTGGGCAGCTTCTTGCCTCGCCTCATGTTGCGCGGCCTGCGCTTGTGAGGCATGCCGATCGGTGGCATCTAGTATAAGCCGGCGCTCTGCTCGGATTGCGTACTGTGGTCTCTTTGCGTTGTCTCTGATCGTCTCATGGATTCTTAGAGAGGTGGCTGCTCCTCTCATGGAGAAGATTCCATGTAAGTCCCTGAAATTTTCTTCTCCTTGTTCGCGCTTTGCTGTATTATATGTTCTCTGAAATTGAAGTTGAATCGTTGATAGGATTCGAAACGCATTTGTTCTGATACCGATAAAAAAAACACAATTTGTTCGGAAAAGAAAATTTGAGATTTCATGAGCTCGAATTGGGATTTAGAAGGTTTTTCCGTTTGGATAGCAATGTTTTGAAACTAGACAACTTTTATTGCTTCTGAGTGTACAAGAAACTGGTTGAAGGGCTTTAGAAGGTTTTGATGCTTCTAAACTGGTTGGGAAGAGGCCTTAGAAGCTCCTAAGTATCAGTATTAAGAATCTGAGTGCAAGAATTATAACTTCACTTCTTTTCAATTATCATAAAAAAAAATTATAACTTCTTTTCGGTGTCTCAAAAAAGTTGATTTGAGCCAAGGCACCAAAACCTCAATATTTGTGAGCCGTGAGCCTTAATCACCGAAGCCTGGACCTCATTAAGGAAGGTTGATTTGACCATCACATTAAAAATAAATGATTAAATAATCTTAAGCCCAGGAAATCTTAAATCGAGATATAGATTTTTTGTTACAAATTGAAAAAATCTATGTTTATTCATCAATGTTAATCAAAGGTAATGATTTTTTTTAGTCAACCAAAAGATAATAGAAAGATCATTTTTTTGAGAAGAAGTAAAGTATCAATTCATTAAAAGGAAAAGTACAACCAGAGGCTGTACAATGGAGGTACAAAACAACACTCAAACTACTAACCCATTGGGGGTTAACATTGATGAATTGGCAATGGAGGTAATATAAATATCATTTGGTGAGATGGGAAAAGGTGAGTAAAAAGAAGGAAGAAGGTGGTTCAGGAATTGACAATGTGAGTATGAAAAACTTGGCTCTCTTGAGCAAGTGAAACCCTCATGCCAGTTTGGAAAGGTTGCGTAGCCCTTCTGTTTTGAGATGCATAAAAAGGAGGGACACGGTCTTGTGGAGATGTACAAAGGAAGCAGTGAGTTGGATATTGTGGGAACAAAGAAACTCAAGAATTTTAAGGGAGAAGGAGAGGAGTAAGGAGGCAGTGTTTGAGCTCACATAACTCTAAGAGTTGCCCACCTTGAAACTCTTCTCAAACTTTAAGGTAGAGGACATCAGGAATTGGGGGGAAATAGCTAGCTCATCCTCTAGGAAACAAACAATCAGAGAGGTTTGATCAACCCTAGTGGATGGTTGGATGGAATTGAAATTTGATGGTAGTAGTGTGGGCAATTTGGGTCCCTCAAGAAGATGTGGTAAGGGTAGAATTTTTAGCAGCAATTTTTGGGGCTGATAAAGCCAAAGAATTAGGAATTGGTAGTTTGATCATTGAAGGTGATTCGAAACTAGTAGTGGGGTGATTGGAAAAAGGTGAGGAGGTGATTTGGCAGATGAGAATTGGATGTAGGTGCTTCAAATGGATATCAAAAGACATGAACCAAAGCAAGGGGTTCAAAGAACAGATATGTTTTGGGCACATTTGTAATTCTGTCTTGGGTCAAGCTTCTATGCTGATTTCTTTGTAACTTCTTGTTGTATATTAAAGCATCTTAATTAGTGAAAATTTTCAGAGTTATTGATAAAAAAGAAAAAAGAAAAGATATCAAAAGACATGATCATTCAAATAAGATGGTTAGAAGATCTGCCAACAGCTTGGAAGATGGCTTAGCTAAGCAAGGGGTTGAAGACAACAAATGTACTGGGCACAATTGTAATACAATGTCGGGTGGTTTGGTTTGTAATGGGTTTGTTGGTTTCTCACAACTTCTTGTTGTGATCTTTTTATTTTAAAATCTTAATGAATGAATGTTTTTCCGTGTTACTGATAAAAAAATAGCTGGCGAAAAAACTAGTTCATATAGTACATTTATCTAGGGAAGTCTGTCAAAATCCATAGCCTATTGTATTCATTTCACTTTGATGTTGTGTTTGGTTTTTGTTGTATACATTTATGGTTTATAACCTTATATTTGTTTCTCTTAAAATTATTGATGTTCTCAGTTCATGTGGTTTTGCATTTGCAAGTACCCACTTGTTTATAGTTTTCAAGAGAACAATTGTTTCTCACTGTGACTATGATAGTAATTATATAATGCCTTTTGAGCTTTTTATCTAATTTGGATGTATAATGGAATTCTGTCTAGCAAAAGAAAGGTAGGTAGGACCATTTGGCTTTATATCATGGCTAAATGTTTTGAAACGCATTGAAATGCAAAGGCGTGGCACAAGGCGTGTGAGTGTAGTTCAGAACATAAGAGGAGGGGGATGAGGAGGAAGAGGAAGAGGAAGGATGATTCATATTTTTTTTATTTTTTTTTCTATAAAAGATGCCTTATATTAACAAGTATGAAGATGCATAAGACTAGTTGAAAGGGGGACCCAAACTTTCTTTCCCCTTCTCTTTCCTTCCCTTCCCTTTTCTTTCTTTTGTGGTTTTTTCTTCTCTTTCTTTTTCTTTTTCTTTTTTGATCAATAACTTCAAATGTCAGTAAAACATAATAAACAAATTACGAAGGAGAGGTAAAATCCCTTAACTCTCCCCAAATACTAATAATATAGTTACAATTGAGCCCAAAACAATTGATTTCTTCCCACTGTCAACTCGGATCAAAACAGAGGAGAAAGAGTTGAGAGTGAAAAGGGTGTGTTCTGTCTTGAACATCACGCCCAAAAATGTTTAACTTATATATGAGATAATACAATGTTATGGAAAGGACAGTTATGTCATTGTCTTACAAGAAATAATAAAACAAAAGATAGTGTACATAAGTTACAACATAAAAGGGTGGTCCCAAGGGCCAAAAGAAGAAAGATGTAAGAGACATAGATCAGTCTCTACACCCCCCTCAAACTGATGCCGAGGTACGAGCATCAGCTTGTCAACTACAAATTGGTGGCGAGCACGGGTCATACCCTTCGTGAATATGTCAACAAGCTGTAGGGCAGAAGACACGTGCGGTAGACATGTGTCCAGCAGAAAACTGGTCTCTAATGAAGTGGCAGTCAACCTTTATATGTTTGGTGCGCTCATGGAAGACCGGGTTGGATGCAATCTTGATAGCACTCACATTGTTAGCATAAATAGGAACTGGGGATGACAAGGAGATGCCAAGATCATTAAGGAGGGCTCTCAGCCATATAATCTCACCACAGACAGATGGCATAGCTCTATACTCAGCCTCGGTAGATGATTTGGAAACAGTCGATTGCTTCTTACACTTCCAGGATATAAGAGAGTCACCGAGAAAGACACACCAACCAGTAGTGGAGCGTCTAGTGTCTGGGCATCCTGCCCAATCAGCATCTGCATATGCGGATAAGCTAAGCGAAGGAGATGCAAGGAAAAAAATGCCATGTGAAAGTGTTCCACAAATGTATCTAATAATGCAAAGAACTGTCGTCATGTGCGGTTGTCGAGGAGAAGAAACAAATTGGCTGACTACTTGAACCGCATAAGGGATATTTGGACGTGTCATGGTGAGATAGATCAGACTACCGGCAAGGTGTCTATAAAGAGTGGCATCTGCGTGGAGGTCCCTATCATCTCTCGGAAATTTCATTTTCATCTCAAGAGGTGTGTCAACCTGTTTGTCATCACTTAGGTTTGCATATCTCACAAGGTCCATCACATACTTGTGTTGATTAACAAAATACCCACGGGGAGAGTGAGTAACTTCTAAACCCAAAAAATAAGTGAGGTGACCAAGGTCCTTCATCTTGAAAGACTTTATGAGTAGCTGCTTCAGAGAGGAAATACTTTGACTGTCATCACTGGTAATAAGAATGTCATCCACATAAAGAAGTAGTAATGTAATTCCTTGGGGACTCCTTGATATGAACAATTAATAATTTGAAGAGCTCTGTGTGAATCCTGCATCTATGTTCACTGAACGGGACCAAGCCCTAGGGGCTTGTTTAAGGCCATGCAGAGACTTTTTGAGTCAGCATACCAAGGAAGAACTGTCATAGTATCCCGGTGGAGGCTTCATATAAACAGTTTCCTTGAGGTCCTCGTGCAAGAAAGCATTTTTGACATCCATCTGATGAATTTCCCAGTGTTTAATTGCAGATATAGCCAACAACAGACGGACGGTGGTCATCTTAGCTACAGGGGCAAATGTCTCATCATAATCTATCTCATACTCCTGCTTGTACCCTTGTGCCACCAAACGTGCCTTGTATCTATCGAGACTCCCATCAGATTTGAGTTTCACTAAATATACCCACTTGCTTCCAATAAGAGAGGCATCTGGAGGGGCTGGAACCATATCTCATCATCCATAAGAGCTTGGAGCTCAATATCCATTGCTTCTTTCCAATGCAGGACAACCATAGGCTTCCGGTATGATGTGGGAATATCTATGGCAGACAGAACAACAGAGAAGGAGCTAAGGTTTGAAGAAAAACCATAGCGGTCAGGAGGACAAGAAATTCGAGAAGAGCGATGTAAAGGAGGATTAGAAGATGGTTGAGGATCATGGATGGGTGCAAGTGTACTTACAGGATCAAGAGAAGGATGAGAACTCGTGGCTAGAGATGATGGATCAGCTTTTGGTGATGAAGGGGGCAGAGCAATAGGAGCTAAAGCAGCTAACCTCTTTCTGAAATAGACACGGAGCAACTCTGGAATAGAAGGTGAATCTGAAGAACCTACAGAGTCAAAAGAATGTAGTATCGAAATGGAAGTAGCAGGCAACTTAACAATGTGAGCAAAAAAGGATATGTTCTCAAGGAAGATGACATTGCGGGATACGCGAACTCGACGAGACTTCGGATCATAGCAAAGGAAGCCCTTATGATCAGGGCTATATCCCACAAAAGCACACATTGCTGATTGGGGAGTCAGCTTTGTGCGTTCATGTGGGGGAAGGTGAACAAAACATACACAACCAAAGACATGAAGAATAGAAAAATCAGGTGAACAGTGAAACAAACTTTGAAAAGGAGATGTATTATGCAAGACGGATGAT